CAGCAGGATACCTTGATGTAATTAAACCCAGGCTACTAGGAAAAACAAAAGTTTTGCTAAATTGCAGTTCCCAAACTACAGGCAACTCACTCGCATGAGCAGTCACCTTCATGGAAAGATGTTTAACTGAATGCCAATACATCCCAGAAAGCCAAAATGTTAGCACTCGAAGATCTCGGGGGCTCTACTACAAAATACACACACACACACACACACATATATATATATGTATATATGTTTCCATCATGGTTCATTTCAGAGGAAAGTTTGCAAGGATTTAGACTTATTCTTGACTGATGACTATGCAGATATTACAGCATCATGTGAGTGCTGGGAAATCTAAAGTGAAACTTACTGATTAAAGACAATTTTTAATTACATTCACATTAAATATTTCCTTGAGAGGTGCATGCCTTTGATAAAGACAGGGGGGGGGGGAAAGAAAGAAAGAAAAAGAGAAGGAAAAAAATACAGATATGCACCAGCAGCACAGGAATTAATGTAAAACCAGTCATCCTTTTAGGCAACATCCTACCTAAAAGTAATTGCAACAGATGCTCCAACAAAGGAACTGTCCTGGCAGGAAATAATTATAGCAATAAAGTGATTATCTATCTTGGAGTCTCAATATAGCGAGACTAAGACAAGTGGAATCAAAGTCACTTTCTCTTCTAAGAAGCATTTAAACACCAGCCTTCACGTGCAGGACGCGCTCTCCAGAGCAACAATCCTCTCTCCTCCTGCGAGAGAGTGCAGGTAGGAGCCCTGGAGAACCCTCCACTACTATCCAAAGTATTAAACCGTCTTAATCACAGCACTATACAATTCCTGCATTGATCTTTTCTTTGCCGCTATAGGAAGTACATCCATAAAGTGCTTTACAGAAAAAAAAAAAAAAAAGAGTTTCAAAGAGCAACACACAATGAAATTTCAACATCACGCTCCTTATGCAGAGTAATATTTTGTTTCAATAACGGTCCACATCGGCCTGGTTGTAACAGCGAAAACAATTCCTCCAGCACGGCTTGCTTGGAGTGGGAGTGCGAGCAGTGTGACTTGCGCTGTAAGTGGGAGTTACTTCGGAGTCGCTAACTCGCATTCAGACTTCCCCGCGTTGCTCCTTCATCCAAGTTCCACGAAAGCCTCAATTAGTCTTTTTTCTAAGCCACAAATTAAGGTAACCTGGCCACTGAGTTTTCCGTTAGTCGCTCCTCGTTCTGTCCAGCAAAGTAAGAAGTTGCCTTAATCCAGAGACTTCCAGATCCATCCTCCAGGTACGCTGTGAGCATCTGAGATGCCATAAGCATCCCAAGTGCTAAATGACTTCACCCGTTTACGTTCCCAACGCCCTGCACGGCAGGCAAACGCCCCAGTTCCCGCAAGTTTGGGGCAGAAAAAGCAACTCGCCCCAAACTTCCCGGCACACGCCTGAAACAGCCCCTGCGGTACCTCCAGCCGCCGGTCCCCCGCTGCAAGGGCAGGACGACGTGGTCCCGGGGACGC